TTAAACACTTCGATCAAGCTAATCAACATGGACGCTATTACTTGGTTGCACATAGAAGGACGTATAAACATTACAATAAACAAATATTCATTACTTCTGCACAATTATTTTTGTAATAGAATAATGGAACTGTGGTATGTTACCTGACCTTCCTCGCATTTTTCCACTGATTTACATTCGCGTAAATTTACAGCATCAGTACAACTGAAACACTCCAAGGAATCTAAAAGAAAAACAATCATGTGTTTAATAAAGATTATAAAATATTATTAAAATGAAAATAAATGGTACTGATTATGTCAGTCTAAGACAATACGCAGATGGAATTGACTTTAATCTTTAAAGAAGAAGCCAATTTTTCTTTGTGTTTATGCCATGCATTTGAATAACTACATAGATACAATTGCAATAAAACTGGATATGAATTGTTCTTTAAAAGGACCTTTTGAACATACTACAGTTATGGCCCATTATCAAATATTTAAACTTTTATTGTGATATCTTTTAACAAAGTTAAGTTTCAAACTGCATAGAGATTTAAGAAGATACGGTGCATGTTATTGTTAAAATTTTCCTATTCACGCATTGTTATTAAAATATTTAAAATGCACTTAATACAAAGAATAAAGATGTTACATACGTGACCTACTGATGGCAGATACAGCGAAGATGAATACCCAACCTGAATAAACAACCGAGGGTGTAACTTTTGTTTCAAGATGATAGTTTAGATAAATTATCATTGCAAATGTACAAGTTGAAAAAAAAAACATTTGTTTTTTCTTTTAAACTTTAAGTTAACCCGTCTCTGTGTTTATTGTCTTGATGGAGATAAAATATGTTCAACAATGTAAATCTTTTGAGTGCAACCAAGCTGATTTAAGTTTGTCAGGCGATGTTGGATGTGGTGCGGCTGTAGGATTTTTTTTGTTTTTGTTAACAAGATTGTATAATCATGTTTGAATCATGCTATTTTACGAATAAATGTTTACAAATGAAATTGACTTACATATTTGAAATGAAATACTAGTAGGCTTCATTCTTTTAGTTTGTAAAGATGTTTACTTCATTCTTTTCTAACAGACATAACTGTCGATGTAAGAATATAAATCAAATAAATACATGCACTGATAAGTACAATTACAATGTAAAATATCAAATGGATGTAAAAATATCGAAATAAATCTTTTATAATTTTACTTTGCTTAAAACATTATCTGCTGCAGCTTAATCTTAAAAAAAATATATTTAGAAATGGAATACTTCATAAAGGAAAACATGACTTCCCTACGTAAAAAAAAGCGGACGGTACAGACAAAGACTAAATGGGGAAATTTGATCTCATAACCTTACAAAAAATGACAATTGTGTGTATTTCTTCTCATCTATGCAAACTATGCATTTATTTTTTGTTTTATGTATTTTCTAATTATTTGTTATTAAATATGAAGACCAGGTAATACGAATGAGGCGAATTACTTACTTTATAAACAAAATTTTATAATGAATTTACTTTCAATCATTCATTTACATTCAGTTAATATTATTATTAATTAGAATTGTGTCTGATAATATAAAGCTGAATTGTTACATTGGAATTAAAAATAAAACATAAAAACATATTTAGACATTTTTTATCGGAAACTTTAGCAACATTAACAATTTTTATATCGTTAAAACATAAAATAACAGTTCACGTAATATATCGGAGCTTTAATGTGGTATAAAATTTAAAAAAATAAAAGGCTTTTTATTGGTCTACAAAAATCATTCTAAATATACACATAATTGTGATTTTTTAAATATAAAACAAACGTCATATCAAGATCAATGTAAATAGATAACTAAATTTTGATAACTTACAATATATAGTCCTACTCTCTAAACGCTCATCACAAACTATCACATTAGGCGGAAGAAGGAAAATATAAATTTTGTTATTATGTTTTTATCCAATGAATGACACTGTTCAAAATATTTTGTGCACATTTTGTAAATATTCTATTGCCTCATAAAATATAAGTTCCTTACTTTCTTAAATATAAATCTTAGCAATGAAGCTTCCATGATAACAGCCGTATTTGCAAGTTATTATGCGAATGTTCTAAAGTCAAGTTATTCATTGTTTTCATGTTTATAAGCTTATCCTACTTAAGACGGTGATAGTGGTCATGAATGGAAGCTTGCGTTTACCACTATTGTCAATAAACAGGCTTAATTAAAACGGGCATTTTACATTTCAATTTTGCCTTTTTGATTACTCCATTTTTGATCATTTTAGGAAATTATATTGTCACCACCGCGGAACTTGACTGGTATATTCTTTCTTAAAGATTTCATCATTTTGCTTTGTTTTTGTTGTGATTCTGACTCGATTCCTTAATATTTCAAAAACTCAGAGATTTTGTTTGCTATAAATTGTTATCAACCATTAGATCTATTATATTAAATTAAAAGAAACGAATATTTCCAACTCAAATGATACAATGGTTTTTAGATAAATGGTGGTGTTGCGAAAATGCTAAATGTGTGCACTTTATGCTTATCTTTTCAAAAGTATTAAAAACAATCGTGGAAATGAGCATCTACTACAATATCTAAAATAAACTTATCGCACTACATCTTAGAAAGAATATGATACCATTTTACTTTCAATGTGTTTTAGTGGCAGCTGACAAGGCGGTCTTTAACATTAATATCATATGACGCATGCATTATATAATTGTTATTTTCGAAATAAACTAAACAAAAGTTCAGAGTATTCGGAAATAATTGTTTCGAAAACGACATTGTTGACAATTAAATAATATTCCAAACTAAAAATAAAGAACACAAACTCCTTAAATGTATAGGAATCAATTTTAAAAAAAACGTCCATATAGAGTTATCTCTTTGCTAATTTTACTTCTTGTATTTTCCGAAATCTTTCAAACTATTTCTGAAAATATTCGCAAACAGGGATATATTTTAGTATATGCCATTTTAACAATAACAAATATGTTATAATGTGCCATTTCTAATAATAGAGAAAGATGTATTAAAATGTGTCATTTCTAACTATAGCAAAGATGTTATAGTGTCATATTTTAAAAATAAGGAGATTAAAAACTATATAAAAATGCTTTAATATTTATAGATCTGGAATGTGTTAAGCCAAGAGCTTGAAAGTCAAAGTCTAAAGTGTCGTTTTAATGTGTTATTTCTAATTATAACAGAAGTCTTGAAATATGCCATTTCTAACCAGAGCAGAGATGTTAAAATGAAATATTTTAATAAAAGTGGATCAAAAATTATATTAAAGTGCTTAGATCTGGAATGTGTTAAGTCCATGTATAGCTCAATAGTTAAAGTCAAAATTGCCTGTTATAATAAGCATTAACTTATATTAAAAAACCACTTAACCAATATGGAGTATTTGAGTTGTAGTACAACTAATCATAATCTTTTGCTGAAAAAAAAAACAACAAATCGCAAAAAACCTTGGACATCTGCAATTTACCAATACAAACCGTGATATTCTGAATTTTTTAACAATAAAAACCGTGTATTTCTAAGTTTTAATAATAAAAACTCACATCTGAATTACAATGTACAACTACGTTTAGTTGAAGAGCAACAAGAATTGGATTTATTCGCAAACAAGTCAAAGCGTGTGTGAGGCTCATGTGCACTCCCTTTAGAAATTCTTGTCAACACTTGCTGCAGTTAACATTCAATCTCATTTTTATGTCATCTGGTACAGGATTTATTGTTTGTTTCTTGTTGTTGATACTTTTTTCTCCAAAGTGTACTTATCGCACTTTTCTATTATAAAACATTTGATAATAATGCTGCAAAAGTGATACAAACATATGTAAAAGAAATGTTCATCCTTGTCATCTATTGAGAGTATGAATATTAACAATCATCATATCAAAATGGTGCTTTCAGGAATAGCTTTGACCAGTGTTAGTTACATGATAGCTATGTATGTAACGGTTTTTGTATAGAAATGACTGACCATATTGAAGAAATAATTAAAATAGGTGAGCAGAAGCTATACATGATGGTTATAAAGAGGTATACTGTTTTATTACAAATATGCTTTGATAAAATTACAATATTGAATTTTGCCTTTATTGTTTTCATTATTATTTTTTTAAATATATTTCTTAAAACGCCTTCTAACATTATCTTTACATACCAAGCTTTGTATAAATGATAAGATGTGTTGCCTTTCTATAACAAACAACATTTATTATATTAAATATTCCTTTAATGATAAATTACAAGGACATAACTTCAGTTGACATTTATTTTGTTCGGTTCTATTCCCAAATAGTGCCCCCATTTCGAGGGGCGAAATCGTCCAAGACCGATGCCGTAACAGTGATTCGAACCCACAAATGATGTCACATGATGACCATTGTGACCAGGGAGTCCAATTTCCATTTACTGCATAAAATATATATCCGACAAAAAATACTATTGATGATTTCCTAGAGAAATACATTTGTAACACAATACGTAACAAGGCATATATATAAATTGGTAAATGATCAGTAGATGTACCGACACTGCAAGATTGCAGTTCAGCTTTACAAACAGTCAATGATTTACACGTACAAGGTAGCATCGACTTTATTCTTGAAGCAAGTCTGGCACCCATTTAAATTACTTTTGAGAATTTAAAAGATAAGTAACACAAGTATTTATTTTATTTACTAATTTATCATGATAATTGTATAATAAAAATTGCGTCTGTGTAAAATAGCCGTTAAAATCACTTTACATTATTTTAGGTGACATACAAGTAGTCCATTCAAGTGTCCCCAGAACAAGTACAACATGTTTCAATTAATCAAATGACAAGTTTTTTACACAGAATTTTGCAAATTTTGCGCCTGTTGTAGATTTCCTTTCAGGCAGAATGTAGTAAAATTGTGAATTAACAATACTTTCTACTTACTCAGATTTTAGAGATTGCAATATTTTAGACATATCTTCTTTGCTGGACTTGTTACCTAACAAATACTAAACATGGAGTTCAATTTAGCGCAATCAACCGTCTTGTCATCATAGCAAAATTAGTCTAAAAAGTATTCCAGCTTTAAATGTACCTGCTATAATAATTTAAAGAGATAAATAAAAAATATCAAAGATAGATACTTGAAAATATCTACACTTTGTCTGATGCTACTTTTCGAATATATTTTTATAATTTTTGCGATATATCGAGAACCGGTGTAAGCAAACATAAAAGTAAAAAACAAATGAAATAAATAAATGGAATTAAAAAAATAATAGTATAAATCATGTTAATCTATGCATATCATGCTTATGTTTACTTTAGGACATAAAATAGCAACAACTTGATTTAATTGATTATATTGTTTATCAATTGCTTGTATTGTGTTTGTTGAAGCGTTAGGCACTGATCTTTTGTGATCGTCTGATAACTACCATTTATCCTTTAAACTTGGGCACTTTGAAAATATTTTGTAAACATCAGAGAGAAGTTGTTTGTGTGTCAATGTATGTTAATTAATATTAGAATTCCATTCAATTAAACATAATTAATGAGTGCAAGTTTCTGTGATTATTGCGTAAATTGAAGTGTCGCGTCTAGATCTTAGTTGTTCTTTGTAAAAATGTGTACTGTTCGGAGACAACTGGCATGAATGTTTTAAACCGGGGATAAAATGAACAAAAATTGACAAAAATTGAGACGAGATTTGATGAAAAGTAAAATGGAAGGCATCAAACCTACCAATGAAACAAGTTGCAATCTTCCTGTCTTTTAATAATGTGTCATTTTTCTTCTGACATACTCAACCATCAATACAATAAGCTATGTTTACATACTTTTATTATTCAATAGTATATGTTTGTTAATGTTTTACTATTGCCTAAAGGGGAGCAGTGGCCTAGTGGTTAAGGTGTATGCCTTTCAACCAAGAGGTCATGAGTTCGAGCCCTACTCGGGTCAAGACCATGTTTCTTCATATGACACCAGTACTGGTTGGTTCCAGAAAGCGGACTCGAAAGTGATAAATATAAGTTGCAAAAACTTGTTTCGCAATTGAGCTTAAATAATTATGTTTTAACGAATTGCTGATAGATGCATCAACGCATAACAAAGAGAAAGTATAATTTTTATTTAATTTTACCCATTAAGCACAGGGTTATATCAGCAAAATATATATCTTTTTTTTTGTGAAAAACAGAATGAAAAATAAATATCATTGTGGGCGGAGACAAAACTCATATGTATTTTTGTTATATTGTCATATTTTCTTATAATTAATTATGTATCTCTTTTGCAATGCGTAGCTTCAGCTTTTCATTTCATCATCGGTAATTTCCGGTTATGTTTTTTCAAGACCGTTATGGCTGTGACAAATTGCGTATTGAATTCAAACCGCGTCAGCCACTTATTAAATTAAATAATTAATGTATTACAGCGCGCTGTACAATTGCGCTTGCGAAGCAAATATGTATAAGCATACACACCTTTTTTGAGGTAAAATTAAAACGGTTATTTTTTTCGTTTTTTTTTTGTGAAATATGAAATATATTTGCACTTTACTATATACAATTCTATATATTTCACTCTTAAAAAGTTTTGGAAACATGTTCAGTAACGTGCGGGGTTGGAATGAAATATATAGAATTGTATATAGTAAAAATATTTGGAATTGTATCATGTTTCGTTAAAATATTTTCCATATTTCACTCAAACGAAAAAAGGTCATTGTGATCTTACACCGTAACTAACAATAGGAAAGTTAAAAGAAAGACATCTCAATGTAAAGGCATACGTCTCCTGAACATAATTAAATTTAAATGGAGGAAATCGGATGAGAATTTATAAAAACAGGTCGTTTTGTCGATTAATAAGTCGCTATTCCGCTGCCGCCGCTAGAGGGCGCTTTGACGTCATACTAACGCCTTTCCTTTACAAAATAAAGCTGCTTGAGTAAAGCATTCCAAAAATCATCAAGATCCGAGATGTTGTCAAATTTCGGTCGGAAAGTACCGAGCTACCTTAAAGCAACTCATTTTGTTTAAAGGATTGTTTTGTTGTTATCTTTTTTCTTCTTCTTAAGTTTAAAAAAATGCTTTTTAGTAAAATGGGACCCACCTATCAGCATCATCGGTTTCATTTTAGGGCCGCTTCTTCTCTTGCTACTCTAGTTTTTTTGCAGCAGAACTCCATATATATAAGAACATGTTTACTTTTCTTTACCAAAATTTCAGTTAGTGACAA